GCCTCTCCGCCATTGACGAGAAAGACTTGGTTGGTGGGTGCCATGGACTTGGTGTTTGGTTCCTAGCGCCCCCTTGTGGCAGGAGTGGAACTGCCTCAGAGAGTTTGAACCTTGGGGCTGCTGGCTGGGTCTGAACTTCTAAGCTTTCCCTCTGCAGCTGAGCAGGGTCCTTAGGGAAAGCAATAGCTGTGTGCTACTTCTGCAGGCCAGAGAGGGGAAACGGTGCCATGCAGTGTGAACAGCCCCACAGGCTGGTGAAGCTGAGTCAGGCCTGGGATTCTTCTTTCAGACTCCATGTGCTTCAACTCGTAGGCTATGGCCTTCTATTAGTTAAAAAAAAGAAAGAAAAAAGAAACCAGAATGATATGTTTCTCAAAAGATTTTAAGAGATGTTTTTCATAAATCTCTTACATCTATTTTAATTGCTGTACTATGTATTTTTAAAAATAAGTACACAGAGAAAACCATAAACGTTATGTTCATTACCTTCAAGCCCAGGGGCCAAAGGTATACCCTCATGACACAAATGTAACAAATAATTTGTTCCTTGGTGATTAAAAAATTAAATTTGGGAGGGAGGGGGAAAATGAGTAGCTGATATTAAGGGCTCAAGTAGAAGGCAAATGTTTTGAGAATGATGATGGCAACAAATGTACAAATGTGCTTGACACGATGGATGGATGGATGGATGGTGATAAGAATTGTGCGAGCCCCCAATAAAATGATTTTTCAAAAATTAAATTTGATGTCCCAATTTCTCTACACAGAATCGTCACCCTTTCTTTTCATTCATTTCATGAAGGGACTCCCAAAAGTGGGTGGCAATCATGGAAATCAAAGTATAATGGAATTTTCCTGCAAACTTTTTGGAGCCTCCTGTGTCTTGTACAGCTTTAAAAATATCTATGTCACAGATATTACTGAAGATGGCCTTCCCTGGTGTCCTTGGGCCGACCCCCCCCCAGCCATCATCTTTGGTTAGCACTGTTCTTGATTGTGGAGCCCGGTGGCATAGTGTGCTGGACTACCAGCACAAGCGCAGCCATTTCCAGGGGCAGTGCCACTCGGTCTTACAGGGTTGCTGTGTGCCAGCCTTGCCTCGACGGCAGACTTTGGGTTGTGGTTTTAGGCTGTCCTTTGTTGGGAAATAATTTTAAAGCCTATTTCGGAAGCCTCAGTAAGTGATGGCACCTCTGGTGTGTAGCATTCAGCCCTCACAATACAGCCATGCTCCTGCACTGGCTGTGTTTCGTGGTGTGCAATCATTGCGTGCCTGCCCTGCTAGCATTTGTATTACATATTTAAATTTTTTTTGCTGTCTTTTAAAAAATATTAGGCTGACATTTCAAAAGCCGTTCTTACTCTGTCATTAGCAATGCCCTCTTCCATGTCCCGGAGTGATGCACTGAGGCCCGCCCACAGACGCCTTTGCCAAAGACTGCTGGCTCCTCTGCCATGAGCTCCCGGCCCCGCCTCGGTCCCTGACAACTGTGCTGTCTCCTTCTCCAGAGAGCTTGGTGCCCACGACAGAATTATCTTGTGGATTGTATAGCTCTTTACTAAACAAAACTTTAAAAAAAAATCATTGTATTGGGGGCTTGTACAACTCTGATCACAATCCATCCATCCATCCATCCATTGTCTCAAGCACATTTGTACATATGTTGCCATCATCGTTTTCAAAGCATTTTCTTTCTACTTGAGCCCCTTGGTATCAGCTCCTCATTTCCCCCCCTCCCTCCCTCTTCCTCCCTCATGAACCCTTGATAGTTTACAAAGTATTATTATTTTTTCATGTCTTGCACTGTCTGATGTCTCCCCCCACCCCATTGTCTGTTGTCCATCCCCCTGGGAGGGGGTTGTAGGTAGGTCATTTGTGATGGGTTCCCCCTTTCTCCCCTCACTTTCCCCTTTCCCTTCTGGTATGGCTACTCTCAATATTGGTTCTGAGGGGTTTATCTGTGTTTCCAGCTCTTATCTGTACCAGTGTACATACTCTGGTCTAGCCAGATTTATAAGGTAGAATTAGGGTCATGATGGGGAGGGGGGAGACAGGCTCGGGGGGTGGGGGGGTGGGGAAGCATTAAAGAACCAGAGGAAAGCTGTATGTTTCATCTGTGCTACACTACATCCTTACTGGCCCCGTCTTCTCCCCATGGCCCTCCTGTAAGGGGATGTTTTAAAAGGTCTATTTCGCCAGACTTTATCAAGCTGTGGAACTTTTAACTTGTCTCCTCCAGATTTTCCTTCTTGGCCGTCTTATTAGAAACTGAAGAGACATCCATGCAATTTAAAGGCATTTGCTGGATAAGCACATGCCTGCCTTTGTCAGGGAGAATAGAAATCGACGTGTGTTTTCAGAGGAGAAAATGTTTCTGCTGACCTGTTGGTGCCTTCCCCTATGAAGTAATAATCAGACTGCACATGCTCTGTCTTCCAAAATACTTTCACTCAATCAACAGATATTTGGGGGTAGTTACTGTGCCCTGCGTTGTTCTAAGATCTGGCAATAAAAAAAACATTCTGAAGTTAAACAAACATGTGCTTAAATGGTGGGATGGAATGCCATGTTTGATTTTAATAAGGGTCCCGTACTAACTTCAATTAATTTCATAAACATTGAGCTCTTTCCAGCCATTGAAAGTACTAGGAACTCATAACACAAAGAGTCTAAAACTAAAACATGAATGAGATGGAAGAGGTCGTCTGCCTTCTAAAAAGAGCTCCCCTTGAGTCGGAGAGGCTGTAGGTGTGGAGTGATGTATGCTATGCCTGGAGTTGTCCACAAGAGGGAGCCACTAACAAACACTAAAAGCAGTGGCCCGAACCCCCAAACTAAAGCAGACTCACTGTGAACACTATGCACCTCTGAGCACACCAACGTAAAGGACAGGGAGCTGCCTCCAGAGGTTTCCAAGGCTGCAGATCTTTATGGAAGCAGCCTGCCACATCTCTCTCCTGGGGTGTGGCCGATAAAACCACAGACCAAACGCACTGCCGTGCTCGGCCGACTCACCGCCGAGGGAGGGATTCTGGGCGTTAGGAAGCCCTGTGTGTGAGGCTGGGTTGACTAGAGAAACAAATGAGTGACCCTCACATATACTTAAGAAAGAGCTTTATATCAAGAAGGAATTGCACATCGTGAAAACATCCCAGCCCAGTTTCACTCAAGCCCATGAGTCCCTAAGCCCGGCAGTAGTCCCCAAGTCTTTCTTCAGGCTCACACAGCTACATGCACTGATGCAAAATGCAGGCTGGTGCTTTTAAGGGTTAACGGTTCAAATCCTTCAGCCGCTCATCAGAAAGAAACTGGTGATTTCTACTCTCAGAAAGATTTCCAGTCTCAGAAACCCAAAGGGTCAGTTCTACTCTGTCCTCTTGGGACCCTGTGGTCAGAATCCATTGAGTGGTAGGAAGTTTGGCTTTGTATTCTCTCTATATTCGAGGTCTAAGCTGTTATGTCAACTGGAATAATATGATTAAAAAAATTTCCCCTACACGAAATTCCTTTGGACTGGTTGGAGAGGAGAGGCTGGAGGATTAAAGGGATGGACAGATAGAAAGAGGATTTTCTAGATCAGCAATTCTCAACCTGGGGGTCCAGACCCCTTTGGGGGTTGAACGACCCTTTCATAGGGGTCGCCTAAGACCGTCAGAAAACACATATTTCCGATATATCTTAGGAACCGAGACGCCGTTCCTCTGTCCACTTCCAGGCGGGTCTGCCCCCATGCAGACACGCCCACCAAAGAGTCCCCTTGTGAAGACTATTGCCCATGCTACACCATGCTGCAAGACAAAATTTCATGTATTTGTAATTAGGAATAAATATTTCGCAGTATACAATTACTTATTGTTTTTGTGATTCATCACTATGCTCTAATTATGTTCAATTTGTAACAAATGAAAACATCCTGCATATCATATATTTACATAACGATTCATAACAGAAGCAAAATTAGAGTGATGGAGCAATGAATATAATTTTATGGTTGGGGTCACCACAACATGAAATGAATTAAAGGGTCGTGGCATCAGGAAGGTTGAGAACTAAGGTTCTAGATAGTTCCTGATTTGACTCTGTGTGTGTGTGTGTGTGTGTGTGTGTTGTTGGCTAATTCATAACAAAAGTTCCTGATAAATCGGAAACAACATCTGTTGCCCAGCCATGACTTGCTGCCCAGCATTTTCAGTTCGATTTCCATAGGAAACATTGACATCGCCCCTGCTTTGTGTGTTTCTTCACCTTAGGAAACCTTTGTTAAAATGAGACTGCGTTGACACTAGACGTCTGCCACGTTCTTACCTTTCCTTCCTTTCGTTGCTCTTGTGTTTGGGATTGCCATCCATCTCCCCGGCGTTCCGTAGGCATATTTTAACGATGCTGTGTTGGCGATGGGCCGCACTTGTGCCCACCTACCATATACTGTCTGTCGCTGCAAACATGACTTGTAGAACGTTCGCTAAGATCCCCAATCTGTTGAAGGCCACCTGCTTCAGCAGTGCATGCTAGGGGGTCGTGGGGTGAGAGGGTGGGAAATGAACTTTACCATCTGAAACCTTTCCCTAACCCTCCGAAGTGTAGTTGGCATTTACCTTTGTTTCATACTTCTTTCCAGTGACAAGGTGTCCTCGGCAGGGTGGGTGTTCTTGGGCAGCTGCCCTCCAGGCCAGCGAGTTGAGACCACCTGTTGCTCTGCCCGAGAAAGACAAGGCTCTCTACTCCCCTAAAGAGTGGGGGTCCCGGATACCCACAGAGGCAGTTCTACCCTGTCCTGAAGGGTTGGCATCCACTGGACAGCCTTGAGGCTTTGTATGCTTGCTCGGCAGCGTCCACAAAATGGATGAACGGTTGTCATGGTTTAATTCTGCCTTTTGACAGAGAGTGAAATTCGCATGCTTCTAGATGCTCGGATGATTCATTAGAGGCTATGCCTGTGGCACCCTCTCCGCCCCTCCGTCCGAGCCTCACCCTCTTCTCGTTCCACGGTCTTTCCCAGAACACGGTTGTGGAGGCTTCCATCCAGCTGCCCCCCTCGCTTTTCTCACCGAAGCCAAAGAGAGAAGCCCGGGCGGCCGAGGACTCCCTGTACAAGCTCCAGCTCCTCGCCTTCCGCAACGGCAAGCTCTTCCCGGCCACGGGCAACTCCACGCACCTGGCCGACGACGGCAAGCGCCGGACCGTGGGCACCCCCGTGGTCCTCGCCAAACTAGGTGCGTCTGTGGCGCTTGTCCAAACAGAGGCTGGCCGCTGTCGTTCTGTCTGTCTGTCCAGAGGACCCGGGAGTGTCTGGCTTGAGGTTCGCTTGCTTCTGATATAATTCTTTCTCTCCTCCCTCCAGATGGTGCCAGTGCCGACGCCCAGCAGGTCCCCGTGAACGTCACCCTGCGCCGCCTCGCACACGGAGCAGACGCCGTCGCGGCCCAGTGGGACTTCGAGTTGCTCAATGGGCAGGGCGGCTGGAAGTCCGATGGGTGCCGCATCCTCCACGCGGACGAGAACGTCACCGCCATCCAGTGCTCCTCCCTGGGCAACTATGCGGTTTTAATGGTACGGCCGCGCTGCGCCGGATGCATAAACTCTGCGTGAGCCCACCCCTGACCCCTTGATTGCATGATCTTCCCATGAGTGACGAAGCTCAAATGAAGACTTTAAAGAAGAGGAGCGTAAATTGCCCCTTTTAAGTTATGGGGCACTCTTTGCCAGCGTTCTGACTTAAAAGGCAAACGGCGTTTGCTACCAAGTGGAATGAGTGCATGCATAGGATGGAGTAAGATGGGTGCTTTGTGAGTCAGGCCCCAGAGGGCTGTGGTGTTTTAAACTTGGAGTGATCTGGGGGTCCACGAAGTCCAGCTCTCTCGAGCCCGGACGACTGACTGATTTGCCAGTAGAGAGGTAGTGGATCATAAAGATGTGGTTATTTTGCCATCTCTAGTGCCTTTTCCCTCTGCAGGTCGTACATTTAGATGCTTCTGGAAGGAGCCCTGGTGTGTCTTGGGCTCCTCGATTGGTGGCTAACTGCAGGATCAGCAGTTGGAAGCCAGCAGCCGCTCCAAGCGGGAGAGAGGAGGGTTTCACTCCTGTAAAGAGCTAGTCTCAGGAGCCCTCAGGGGCAGTCCCGCCCTGTCTTGTGGGCTAGCGCTGAGTCAGTATTGAGTCCCCGGCAGGGAGCAAGGGACCATTTTTCACAAACAGGAGTGGTCTGTCTGCTTCCGTCACATACATACTGGATGGTTCTTCGTCCCCTCCCCCTTTGAGGTGCAGGTGTGCTGCCTGGGAAGCCGCTGGGGCAGGTACCCCATTCACATGCTTGCTCGGGATGTTTGTCTGCCCAGAGTGCCTCTGAGGAAAGGCCTGGCCACCTGCTTCCAAAACCCACCCAGGGCACAGCTCCGCCCCGACAGCCCCAATCCACTGGCGAGGCCGTGTGCACTGTCTTTCCCGGAGGCTGAAACGGATTTCTCCTCTAGCTTGTAATGCAAAATCATCCACCACCAGGAAGGGAGGAGCAAGAGCATCCTTGCAACATGCCCAGAGTGCTACCAGCCGATGACTTAGAGAAAGCCCGGTAAACTCGCCGAAACGCAGAATGCGCAGAAGAGCGTTTTGGAAGCTGCTCCGCTGGGACATGGCTCGGCCCTTCCCCACCTCCATGCCGCAAAACGTCTGCTCTTTGTTTAATGCATGCCCGTCGGAAGCATCTCGTTTTTAAATTCCTAGCTGTTCTTCTAAATGATTTAAATTCGTGGCATCCCTTTTTGGAAGGAATAAGCTATTCTTTTATCTCTCGTACTTTTAATCTCACTCTTATTTTGAATGCAATTCTCAATGCTTTAAAGCTAAGATACAGTGCTCAGATTTTTTTTTCTGTCTTCAAAGTACATCCTCTTTGCTTTTCTTAAATATAATTGCGCCACCTAGAGGCGACAAAGTGTAATGTACCTGGGCTGGTGGACAGTTCCAGTCAAGTGGTAATCAAGTTAACGCAAGTACTGGATGGATAGAGTTTACTCCGTGAAAGTACCAGTGGCCAGTTCTCCCCCGTCCTGTAGGGTCGCTATCAGCTAGTGAGTTTGGTTTGGAAGTGAAAGTATCTCTGGAAACGCTACCAATGGTATTGAGTTTGATTTGCCTTGGGCGAACGACGAGGCTGTTGGCTCCGGTACAGATAGACAGCCTTCGAAAGCCCGCTCTCCACGAGTCAGAATCCATTAGATGACAGTGGGTTTGGCGTTTATTCTCAGGGTAAGGTCAGAGTTCATACAATCACACCTACTCTTACGCCATTAAAGGTATGTCTAAGAGAGAAGAAATACCTTGAAAGACAGAAGTCTGTGTCTTTTTCTTGCCCCAGACTCTTCTGGGTCATCAGGAAGGCCCCGTTTTTCACGAACACGCCGTAGCCTATGGTTTTGTGCCGCGCGACTCAGGTCTTGATTCGGCAGACAGTCCCCATGTGTATGAGAACGGAGAGAAGGGATTTTTGTCTGTCACTCTGGAATACATTTCGTACGTTGGATCACTGTAAATCCTGCTGTTTCCAGCTGCGTCCAGATGTCTGAGAGAGAACGAGAGAACAAAGTTACCCGGAAGACGTTTCCTCGGAGTGGGAGGAGAAGCAAGCCCCGAGGGCAGGGTGTTTAGAGGCGCCAGTGTCCTGCTCCTGGCCGTCGAGCCCATTCTGACTCACGCTGACCCTGCCGGGCAGGGTGGAACTGCCCTATGGATTCTGAGGCTCCAAACCTTTAGGGGAGCAGAAGCCTTCTCTCCTGAGGTCCAGGTGGGAGCCTCGAATGGCTGAGCTCGCGGTTTATAGCATGACCCAGTACACTTAGTGAAAGCAAATTACTCTTCACACATGCATCTTTCATACAGTGACGCCGGGACGTTCCCCTCCTGTCCATCCCGGCCCTTCTCCACGAAGCCAGGACCCACTCTTGTGCGTTCCTCGGCCTCCCTACGCAGTGCAAATGATGACCAAGGTCAGCTGCTATCCCAAAAGCTGGAGGTTCGAGTCTGCCCAGAGCATCTTGAGAGAAAGACCTGGCAGTCCACTCTCGAAGGGTCAGCCACTGAAAGACCTCCAGAGCACAGCTCTCCTGGGACCCTCAGCAGGGTCACCCACCATGAGTCAGCGTCCACTCAACGGCAGTGGGGAAACTTCCAGGATCCGTGTCTTGCAGCTTTTTAAAGACACAGGTTTTTATTCTTTGAATGTTTACAGAAACAAAAAGAATGTTTCTTCTCCTTTTTTCCCATCTGCCAGAGAGACTCCATCCTACGTCCGTCCAGCACACACACAGTGTCAGGCGCTTCTCACAAGCCCTTGGCTCCGAACCCCTTCAGAAAGTACACATACTGCAGCCAAGGGCCTCCGTCGACAAGCGCCCCACCCACGCTGCCAAACCAGCAAGTGTTGGGATCGGGGTTTGCGTTTAGTCTGGCTTCAGAACCCGGGTCTTCCCCTCGCTGCTGGATTCCCTGCCCGACATCGTCCCACAGCAGTGGATCAGCGCTGCTTCCTTCTTCACATCTGAACATCATATGTCCTCCTTCCTTGTGTTCCATGCTTCTGTTTTGCTGCTTTCCGTCCTGAGCTTAGACCGTAGGATCTTGTACATTTTCTAGACTATCTGCAGGATGGACGCTTTAAGTGCAATGGGTGTTTCAAAGTGCCAGTCTTCTCCATTTGCATTTAAAAAATTAATTTGAAGGGTGAACTAATTCACTCCTAGTGACCCCGCAGGAAGGATGAGAACAATCTCTTAGGGTTTCTGAGACATCCGATCTTCCTGGGAGCCGATGGCCTCATGGTTCTCCCCTGCAGCAACTGCTTTTAGGGATCCATCCAATCCTCTTGGCCCCAGGACATTTGGAGTATGTGAGGATTTGAAATTCTGTTCTTTATTTCCTTCCCTCTTGATCGGGAGTCTTCTATGCAGTCTTTGGCCCAACAGGTCAGTAATCATGGTTATTGTCCAGCTGGGCACCACCCAGTTGTTTTGGTTCCATGACAGAGGAGACCCTTGTTCATGGAGACGGCCACAGTGTAGGTCCTTCTCCTGTGGCCGATCCTCCTTCCCCGTTGTCCCAGGCCACTGGAGATCAGTTGTTAGACCTTGGATGGCTGCTCGCAAGCATGTATGGCCCAGGATCTAAACAGTGACCTAGGAAGTAGAATAGAAGAAAGCTGTCCCATAACACTGTGACCCTAATCCTCCAAACCAGGGACCCCAAATCACAGGAGACGTTTGCCTCAGCAGCTGGTCTCTGTGTTTTTGCCAAATCAGATTTTTATAGGTGTCTAACTTATGGCAACACTTACAATAATCAGCTGTGGAATCCCACCATCCATGCCAGTGTTCCATCACTTTAACGCCCCCTTCCTTAACCCCCCTCCCTTCCCTGCCCTCCCCAGAATCGCCAGTTAAGACTGCCCTCCATACATTTGCCTTTTCTTCCCTGCGTGAGACTTAAGTGAGGCCATACAGCCTCTGTCCTTTGGCGAACGCAGGGATTGACTTGGCCCAGCATCATGTCTTCCACGTCCATCCGCACTGGCGAACGCAGGGATTGACTTGGCCCAGCATCATGTCTTCCAGGTCCATCCGCACTGGAGCACGCGTCCACACTTCTTTCCTCTCGCGGCTGAGCGGCACCGTACAGAGGTACAAGCCACACTTCCTTTCTCCATCCAGTCCGTGAGGGCGGCTGGGATCTTGTGGATCCTGCTGCAGGCAATGTTGGTACATGCCTGCCTGTCTCATTTTCTGCTTCCAAGTCTCGGGGTACATTCTGTGCTGGGGAACTGCTTGGTCCTGGGGTTGATGTATTTCCAGTGCTTTGAGACACTGTCACCCTGTTTTCCACAAGGCTTGTGACTTTCTGCTCCCATCACCAGTCTTGGAAACCCACACGGGGTCTCCGTCAGTCAGTGTTGCCTCGATGGCGGTGAGTTTGGTGTGGTTTGGTGCTGTGCTGCATTTCCACCCATGGTGGATCAGGACCCCCGAGTCCCACAGCAGCGCCCGTCTCCGTTATGTTCTGTTTTATTTTGTCATCGTCGTCACGTTCATCCTACGCCATCCTTCAGGGCTTTGACGCGCATCTCTCGGATGGCTAATGACGCCAAGTATTTGGTGGCCCATTTGGTACGATGTCTTTTCAAGTCCGTTGCCCAGTGTATGATCTGCCACTGCTTTGTTTTCAATGGCACCCCTGAGTGGCACCGACAGCTCACTCTCCTGGTCACTCGAGGAAGAACCGTCCAGAGGGCCCAGGCCTCCAGAGGTGCCTCAGAAGCAAGCCCTGGCAATCTCCTTCCAGAAAACCAGCTGTTGGAAAGGAAACCCGGCGGAGTGGTTCTTCGCTCCTCTTTGTTCTTGCTGTTCCTGACACGGCTCCTTCCTAAAGACGTCCCAGCGGTTGGGTGGTGAGGTTTTCCACGCGCAGGTCCTCTGAGTCACAGGGAAGCACACCGTGCCCCGTGAGGTTTTCTTGGCTGTCACCCCGATGGGGGCTTTTCACACATGAAACCACTTCATGCCTGGTGCCACCAGGACCCTTAAGTGCCAACGGAACAGCCTCATTGTGCCATTTGGTTTTCAAAGTCTAAACCTTTCCTGTCTGGCCCTGGAAAGATGAGGTGTGCTGATTGCCGTTTGGATCTTCCTCTTCTATTTGTTTGGGCTCAGCCCAATGTGAGGACCCCGGAGCCCCCCAGTAACAGCTGCGCCCTATGCAACCAGTGAGCCGAGTGCCCACTGCAGTGGATTCTCAAACCCAGCAGAGGAAGAGTGCTGTGTGAGGGATGGTCTTCAGAAGCAGATCACCAGGCCTTTCTTCCTACTCTCTGATAGCCCCACGGGAAACCTGCCCCCCCAGGCATGAGCCTGCTGGCACTTTGGAATCGCAGTGGCTGGCAGAGAGAGAAGCACACAAGCCACCGCTGTGTGACGCATGAGCGAGGGCTGGTGGGAGCCACGCCTCCACTCCAGCTCCCGCGGGGTCCTGCGGTCTGGTCTGCCTCGAGCCAGTGACCGTGCGGAGAGGAAGGGGACATGAAAGGATGCGCACATGGTTGGGGTCTGCGCTGCACCTTCTAAAGCCTGCCCCCTCCCCCCCAATCCTCATGAGGCGAGGTCTGTGAAACCAATAGTCACGTGTGGACCACGCAGTGGACACGAGGAAGACGTACCGTCTGCATAGAATGGCAGGAGGCCGCTCCCCTCGGGCAGAATGGCACAGTGTAGGCGGTCTGGGTGTTTCAGTCCCTCAAGACCATGCGAGTTGTGGGGGTGCAGGGCAGTGCGGTGGGAATGACGCTCTCTCTGTCCCTCTCAGGACTTGTCGGGATCTGAGCTCTACACACCGGCAGCCGGCCTCCTGCACCCCGTTGTCTATACGGCCGCCGTCTTCCTTCTGCTGTGCCTCCTGGTCATCATCGTCAGTTACATCTATCATCGCAGGTAAGGCACCTCCCGCGAGAGGCAGAAAACGCCATCCCATGGTACTGTGCTCTGCCCCAGAAGGAGGATTGTGGCTTAGAGTGCACAGGTGCCGCCTTTGTTCCCGGCTGCAGGGCATCCGAGGGTGTGATTAGTTCTGCGAGCAGACAGCCTCATCTTTCCACAAGGAGCAGTTGGTGGGTTTGAACTGCGGACCCTGTTGTTGGCACTTCAATTTGTAATCCACAACGCCCCCCGCCCCCGGGCTCCCTTATGTTTCAGTCTCGGACTATACAGTTATTCTTAGGGCTTCTTGCCTGCTGTCGTAGTTTTTATTTTATAGGTGGCATTTCTTAGAATGCTTGTGGTAATTCAGGGAGGGATGCGATCTTTGTGAACTGGAGTTAAAGTTGCCGAAACTTGTGCCGTGTGTGAGGAAATGGGGAAAGTAAAGAATTGGCTAAGCAGGTTTGCACGTTACAGATGGCTTTTCTGGAATGGCTTTCGGCTGGACAGAACATTTCTTGACATTTAGTTAAGAAACAAAAAGAGGTTTTTCTTTAAAAGAAAGAAGAGGAGAAAAGGGAACATTTCATTATGAAAGGCCGGAAGGAAATGTATTGCGCACTTACACTGCTTTGCCAGAGTGTGTCAAGGGAGCCCTGGTGGCAATGAGGGTTAGGTGCTGGGCTGCTGACTCCCAGCTTATTGGTTCAAACCCACCAGCTGTTCCACGGAAGAGAGTCTGTCTGCATCCATAAAAATGCAGTCTCAGAAACCCTCTATAGGGTTGCTATGATTTGGAATCGACTCGCAGCAGTGTGTCTTGTTTGGGGTTTGGCCATCCTCCTGAGCAGAATTCCCTAGGAAGCCGAGTACCATTCAGCCATCACAAGACCTGGCTGCTAACCAAAACCCATGTGTTGCATGACTGAGGATTTGTTTAGTTTTAGTGCGTGCCAGAGTCCTGGTAGCCTAGTGGTTATGAGTTGGGCTGCCTTCGGCAAGATCGGCAGTTCAAAACTACCCGCAGCTCTGCAGGAGAAGGATGGGGCTCTCTACGCCAGGAAGCCTGGAAACTCACAGGGGCACTTCTTCTGCCCTGTAGGGCTGCGTTGAGTCAGCATTGACTTAATGACAATGATTTTTTTTGTGTGTCATCCTAGCAATAATTTTCCTCTTATTATGTAAAGTTAAATATTGTAAAATCTGTATCGAATCAAGTGATTTCTCAGGTCCTGTGTGAGTGCAAGATATATATATATATGGTAATCCATGTAGGCATATACATAAGGAGCCCTTGGTTTGGGTTTTGGATGCTCTACATGATAAAGACAAAGTAGGAATGATTTCAATGTGGCCTTTCATGAGGCTGAAATGACTGACTTGGAGATGAACATCGCCAGTACCGTGCTGCACGTGCTGAATGTATTTTTCTCCCCCCTCGCCCCAGCTTGATTAGAATCAGTCTGAAGAGCTGGCACATGCTTGTGAACTTGTGTTTTCATCTTTTCCTGACCTGCGTGGTCTTTGTGGGAGGCATCACTCAAACCAGAAACGCCAGCGTCTGCCAAGCGGTAAGTCAGTGAGCCATAGAGACAGGAAAATAGGCCTTTATGAGGAGTGTAATTTCCTGTGTCCCATGACCTCTCAAAGGAAGACTCTTCTCTAAGGCAGTGGGTCTCCACCTTCCTAATGCCACGACCCTTTAATACAGTTCCTCATGTTGTGGTGACCCCCAAACATAAAATTATTTTCGTTGGTACTTCATAAACTGTAATTTTGCGACTGTTACAAATTGGGCAACCCCTGTGAAAGGTCATTCGACCCCCACAGGGGTCAGGACCCACAGGTTAAGAACTGCTGTGCTAAGGTTTTGTGTTTCTCTTTTACTCATGAAAGTGAAACGGATAGCCTGGCCACTAAAACCTCTGACTGGCTTTTCGGTCAATTGATTTACCCTTCCTGGGTCTCCGTTATAAGACCCCCGGTGGCCGACTGGTTACACACTGGTCAGCAGACCAGACCCACCAGCCATTCAATTCGGGGAAGACTTGACTTTCTACGCCCATAAAGAGCTCCAGTTTCCAAAACCTACTCTGGCCCATCGGGTCGCAATGCGTCGGAATCGCCAGAATCGCAGTGGGTTCAGCGTGTAGGTGCCCATGGGTAGCCGCAAGGTCAGCAGTTGGAAACCACCATCTATTGTGAGGGAGAAAGAGGAAGCCACCTACTCTAGGGAAGGGTCAGTCTCGGGAGCCCGGGGGCTGTTCTTCTCGCTCCCGTGGGCCGCGGTGCTGCAGGGCTGCTGGGAGTTGGTGCTGACCAGATAGATGGCAGCAAGGGTTTTGTAACGACTTGGAATTGACTCATGGAGTGAGTCTCCATGTCTCTCAGCTGTGTGCTGGAGATAACAGACTTGGTTGTTAGATCATGTGATTGCTCATACTTCACCCGCTCCAAAAAAGGGGGGAAAAAAAGCTCAAATAAGCGATTAAAGATGTTATTCAAAATTATAGTAAAGTGGAGCCATGAGTTTTAACCTGCAGAAGTGCGTTTTCTGCTGGTGTTCAGAAATGCAATTGTAATAGTCTAGGTACTTTGGAGAAACAAATGCACAGCAACTCATAGATAAGAGAGAGTTTTATGCAAAGAAAATATGCATCACGAAAACACCCCAACCCATTGCTGTCCAAGCCCACAAGTCCAACATTAACCCATTAACCCAACACCAGTCCACAAAGTCCTTCACCTCACAAAACAGAGGCAATGATGCCGACTGCAGGAGGAAAGCTGAGTCAGTGAACGTGTAAGCATCTCAGCACTGGCACGGGTCTCCACACAGCTGCTCCAGCACCCAGGGCTGCATCGGGATAGATCCATGCGGCTTCTCCTTGGGGATGTCTTGTAGGAAGTCAATCTTGCAAGCTGAAGCAGGGAACTGCTAAGGCAGCTGCACCCGATGCAACCATCACAAAACAAGAGACCCGAGAACTAGAAAGGCGAGGCTTCACCACCCATTTATCCCTCCGCCTTTCAACCAGCACCACATGTGATTATTGGCCAGGCTGGCACAATTAACTAACTCAGCAACTGTTAGAAAAAAAATCGAAGGTGCCTGTGAAAAATAATTGACTTACAGGTGAAATGATGTGTTAAAGAAGCCATGAAGACAGGACGCTGGGTTATATGATGAAGGCCGCATCAGGGTTAGAAGGTAGAGAGCATGTTACAACCTGTGATAGGCACTTGCTGTACCGTGCTTGCTGCAATGGAGGAGGGCTTGATGCACTTGCTGATGAAGATCAAGGATAACATCAGGATCCTTACAACTTGATGGAAACCAGACCAAAATCCGCACAGCTGGACCCACGAGGTGACCCCCTGCTACATGGAGAAAGGTGGAAGTTGTCAGGGTTTTGTCTTGCTGGGATCCACAATCGGGGCTCCTGGAAGCAACAATCAAGAGATCGTCCGTGGTATCACATTCGGTCAGTCTGCTGTCTAAACCCTCTTTAAAGTATTGAAAAGCAAGGATGTTACTTTGAGGGCTAAGGTGTGCCTGACCCAAGACCTGGTATAATCAGTTGCCTCCTGAAAGGTAGTCATTGGATAAGGAAGACTGACGAATAATCAATGCATTTCATTGTGATCCTGCTGAAGAGAGAGTGTCATGGACTGTCAAAGGAACAAACAAAGCTTTCTTAGAAGAGGTCCCACCGGAATGCCCTTTTTAAGCAGGAAGGTGAGACTGCGAATCATGCACTTTGGACATGGTGTCAGGAGAGACCATCTCTGGGGAAGGGCACCGTGCTTGGCAAAGTAGAGGAGCAGCAAAGAAGAGGAAGGTCCTGGACGAGGTGGATGGACACAGAGGCTGCAGCAATGGACTCAAAACAATCTCCATATGTCTAAAAAGAGGGCCTCAAAAGAGGGCCTCTAGAAAGAGAGACTGGCCTTTAGCAAAAAATACACGAAAGGGGATTGAAAACAAGTCTGTAGCTGTTTCCCTAACATCACTCTTGTAGTTCTGGGTCTGGCAGGACTGGTTTTTCGTGGCTGCTGTCATTCTTACTGCAGGAGCTGAGAGGAGAGGGTGGTAGCATGCCGGGTTCCCGACAGACACTAATGGCGCTAATGGGTGAGGTGGCGGGTTGCGATGCTGTGTCGCTGAGAACACCCTGTCTGATGCGTCATGCCACCTCAGTGCTTCATCTATAGCAAACTGTGGAACCAACATGCTCACCCGTTTTTATATGCAGACTTGCAAGTGCACATGGATCAAAATAGCACACTGACACATACTGAAAATACACACTGATCAGAATCTATGAGGGGGGTTCAGAAATATCTGGGAAATATGGACTTGAAAGATAGCAGGGATTTTTCGTGCTAATTTTTCGACGCGTCTGCATATATATCAAAAATACACTCTCTCAGAACTCAATGCCATCGATCCAGAGTTGATTCATAGTGACCTCTGTGGGTTTCTGAGACTGTAACTGTTTACAGGAGTAGAAAGCCCAGTCTTCCTCCCTCAGAGCTGCTGCTGGTTTCAAACTGCCCACCATGCTGATCGCAGCCCAACATGGAACTGCTGCATCACCAAGGCTCCTTGAAATATCCAGCATATACAGGGGACAACACTGGAGACAGTGCGGGAATTGTGCCCGATCTGACCCCGCCACACCTGGGTGAAACACGAAGGGTGTGCAACAGAGCAGCAAGGGGAGCAAAACGGTGAAGTCCCTGAGAAATCCCAAAAATGGACTTCAGGGATAGGGTGTGGTACATCATCAGTCTCAACTGCAAAACTCTCATCAGGTCAACAGACAGACCTGGAACTCTTTATTTATAGGCTTTTCTTTTTTGTCGTTTTGTTTTTGTTATTGTTTCTGCATGTCGATTTACATAAGATAGGCAGGATAAACAATCCTGAAGAGAGAACAATAGACTGGTGGTTCTATGGAGACACAGAAGAGGGGGCGGGGCAGGGGAAAGGAAGGGGCCAATAAACCCAGGGACAAGGGAACAACAAGTGATCTAAATCGATGGCCAGGAGGGTGTGGGCTTAGGATGTCTGGTGGGGCTTGATCAAGTGCAATTAGCCAAGAGGAATTAATGAAAGCCGAATGAAGGCAAACATGATAGTGGGACAAAAAGAAAGTAAAAGGAAATAGAGGAAAGAACTAGGAGGCAAAGGGCATTTATATAGGTATATACATACAGGCACACATGTAAATATATTTTTATATAATGATAGGGAAATATATCTATATACACATATTTATATTAAGTATTAAGGTATCAGACGGACATTGGGCCTCTACTCAAGTACTCCTTCAACACAAGAACACTTTGTTCTAGTAACCTGGAATTCTGTGATGCTCATCTTCCCGACATGATTGTTGAAGACAAATGGGTGCATAAGCAACTGTGGTGAAGGAAGCTGTTGGTGCCTGGCTATCAAAAGATATAGCATCTGGGATCTTAAAGGCTTGAAGCTAAGTAAGTGGCCATCTAGCTGAGAAGGAACAACGCCCACATGGAAGAAACACACCAGTCTGTGTGATCATGAGGTGTGGATGGGATCAGGTACCCTAAACAATCATGTTGATGCGAACGAGGGGCAGGGCGGAGTGGAGACCCAAAGCCCATCTGTAGACAATTGGACATCCCCTTACAGGAGGGTCACAAGGAAGAGATGAGCCAGTCAGGGAGCAGTATAGCACTGATGAAACATACAACTTTCCTCTAGTTTTTTAATGCTTCCTCCTTCCCATTATCATGACCCCAATTCTACCTTACAAATCCGGATAGACCAGAGCAAGTACACGGGTACAGATAAGAGCTCGCAACACAGGGAATCCAGGACAGATAAACCCCTCAGGACCAAAAGGGTAGGTGAAAGGGGGAGAGGGAGGGAATGGGGGCAGGGGACTGATGACAATGATCAATTTATAACCCTCCCCACCGCACCCCAGGGGACGAGCAAGAGAAAAGTGGGTGAAGGGAGACCAGTCAGTGTGAGATATGAAAATAATAATTTATAAATTCTTAAGGGTTCATGAAGGAGGGGGGTTATTGAGCTGATACCAAGGGCTCAAGTAGAAAGAAAATATTTTGCACATAATGACACTGACATATGTACAAATGTGCTCGACACAGTGGATGCACGTGTGGATTGTGATAAGAGCTGTAAGAGCCCCTCATAAAATGATTTTTTTAAAAAGGAAATATACAACCTAGCATATTTTCAGTTTCCTCATGTGCATGAGAGTTGGACAACAAGTAAGGAAGCCTGAAGCAAAACCCACGCCTTTGAAATACGATGTGCTGAAGAAGAGGAAGTGTCACCTGGGCTGCCGGGATCATAAGCAGTGTGCTGGGAGAGGCCCAACCACAGTGCTCCTTAGGACTGACGATGGTGAGGCATGGTTTCCTGCCTGTCCTGTGGACATGTCATCAGCAGAGGCCAGTCCCTGGGAAAGACAGCATGATTGGTAACGAGGAAGAGGCTGTCCAGGACACGGGTGGTCACAGTGGATGCAACAGTGGGCTCAAACTGATAGTGGAGAGGATGGCCCGGGCCCGGGCAGCGTTTCACTCTGGCATACTCGGCTGCTATGAGTTGGAACCCACCTGAGAGCCCCTAATGACCACACCAGTAGAGCAAGGCGCCCTGATGATGCAAAGCTCTCTACTGCCCATCAGAAGGTTGGCAGTTTGAACCCACTCAGCAGCTCTGCACAAGATTCACCCTAGCGATCTCTCTGCTAAGAGTTCTAGTGTAGGAAACCCCATGGGGACGTTCTCCAGCACACCGGTCTTGGAGTCAAATGTTGATGGCAGCAAGCAACAGCAGCATCCGTGTAGTTCTGCCCATCTTTCCTTCACCTTCACGGTGAGAGGTCTCCTGTTATGAGAAGAGTGTGACCCAGGTCTCATGTCGTTCCCCCTCCCGCCCTCCTCATGATGGGCTCCCAGGCACCTGCCCCTCTGGTTCCTCAGTGCCTTCCAGCGGAACCTTCCCTGTGTTGTGGCACCTAACTCCCCCAGGCCCTGAAGGAGAACGGAGAAGCAGAGTGATAAGGGCGAAAGGCCACTGACTCAAGGTTGGAAGAGATTCTGGTCCTGCCCCACAATGTGCCGCCAGTTAATTGTTGGATGGCCCTCGATTTGGCTATTTGGTGGAGGTGCTCGGCCGGCTCTAATTTAGGTTACCTGTAGCTCTGACGCTCCATGCGTCCATCTGTTCAACGGTGTGGAGTGCTGCTCACTCCTCAGGTGTCCTTTTAGAGCTGTTACTGAGAGGATTGCTGCTGTCGCACGTGGGAGACATCGGCAAAGACTCTGATCCATGCCTGGTAAGCGTTTCTCACTCGCAACTTTCTGCAAACGTGTTGTCTTAATTGTCACGTTCACCCCACGAAGCACTTCTTAGGCATGTGCTTTACCAGTAACTGAAACAGAGCTTGGGAGAACTGAAAGCATTTGCCCAAATCATCACCAGGGCTACTGGGTGGGATTCGCCCCCCACCCCCCTCCTTCCCTCTCCACAGTGTGCTGGAGAAAGGGTGAGGGCATTGGAAACAGTTGGATGTGATTTCGAATCATAGCCCTACCACCGCCTGTGTAAACATCCAGCGGATGGGCCAACCTCACTTAGGCCCAGTCTCCTTGTCAGTAGCTCAAGATGAACAGTACTGACTGAATAGCGACACAAGACGGGGAAAATGGAATCACAAAAAAACCTGCCCAGTGCCAGTTTTTGGCACCAGATAATTCTCGTCTGTAATAGTATGCATTCGGTAATGGAGACTTGATGTTTTTTTCATTTCCGCATAGTCATCAGTATTTATCATCTGTTGATCATATACATCAGTCTTGTATTCCACTCATCCTAAAGGTGGCTTTTGCATGCCGGCCGTCTCAGGTTGATTAGTGGTTATGAGAGAACTGTTTCAATGCCTGGTCTCAACTCTGTGAGCGTATTTAGTTCGGTAGTTGTGGATGTGTGAGCACTTCCTCGTTATTTCATAGGGTGGCTATGAGTTACAGTCAACTTGACGGCAGTGGTTATTGTGTGCATGTGTGTGTATGGTGTGTTTATTTACATAAAGCGGCCCATTTCCAGGTAATTATTTTAGACCCACATTACAGTTGTGAGAACCGGTGTCCCTGAGGCGAGTTGACCTTTCTTAAACGAGAACCTGCAGTTACTTGACCATTTGTAGACTCTAGGCACAAGATGACTTATTTCCAGACTGTTTACAGAATTTCCAAATGTATCTTCAACTTGTTTGCAAACACATCCCACCGTGAGCCTGGGTGGGTTGATGGATGTGGACTGTGAGCCTAAGACGGAGGAGCGCCATCTGGGCTGGGGCAGAAGCCCTCCATTTTTCCTGGGTTTCCTGGTGTGTGTGGTCATTAGGGTTCAGTAGCTTTATTACCAGAAGATACCAGACTCCCATGAGTCCATCCGTGGAAATCAGCATCAGTATCTGCCAAAGGGGAGCCCATCATGGGACATCAGAAGTGCCATAGAAAACACGTCCGACCCGGAAGATCAAGTTTCTCCTTTAGATCAAAGCCGGGAAGGTTCTCCACCTTGCCCTCCTTCTAGGGTTTGAAGATATTTTTAACTTACCTGTTTTAATCTCTCCTTCTTTTAATCTCTGCCTCAAGGAAACCTCCCAACAATAACATAGCCTGCCATTTGGAGTCAATATCAGGGGATGTCCCCTGAATATTACTGGTTTCTGTGCACCAAAATCATTTATACTGCTTTTATTTATAGTGTTTGGTGAGACTTTAGGTAGCTCAAAGGGTGTTTTATGCTTTTTGTTTTACTTTCTGTCCATACATTCTGCTTTTACAGTACAGTCAGCAAAACTAGCAGGAACCAAGGAGCCAGCTGCTTCCTGGAGAAGATTAACTGTGTATTATTGTTTTTTTGGGGTGTCCAAACTGGACCCAGCTTCTCCGCGCGTTCAGGGCCCTGGCAAGATTTACTGTGGACGGGGACAGTGGAGTTTGTTGTGGTTCCCCTGCAAAATCGGGACTTAGGCTTTGATGTTGACGTGGTTTTGCTACAGATGAGTTCTTCGAAAAGGGGACGTGAGGCATTTGGAATGCTTGTGTTACTGCGGTGTTTGATCATATCCACCAGTTAGGGTTTCTTGACAGGATTAGCAAGCCAGTCCTTTAGGAGGAGAAATTCTTCCCAGAGCTTTTCCTTCGTAGAATTTTACTTGTATTGGTTACCGAAGAAGAAACGATCAAAAATAGAACAAAGACTGACAGAGTGACGAAGGCTGGGTTATCGTCCTGCGTGCTCCCGGACCACATGCAGGCATTCTTCTGAAGATTGGTTTTACCGTTCTCTTAGCCCACTCAAGTCTTCACCTGGAACGTCATCGTCCCTAGACTGGTTTCCGATGCAAGTCAGGTGGTAAATGCGCCACTGTAGTGACAGCGTAGGCGATTTTGAGCACCTGCTGCTATCTTCCAGTCACGTATGCCACGAGAACCCCTGCAAAAGCCCTCATGGCAGCAGTTGAAAGGAGTTTCCTGCTTTTCTCATGGAGAAACTTGATTTCAGAGAGGTGACCTGATGTCTTCAAAACCAGACTCCAAATAAGGAATCATGGCAGAGATGTCATCCTGAGGCTAAGGATAAACCAAAATTCAAACTCACTGTCATCGAGTCTACACCGCAGGGTTGAGCTGCCCTGGTGGATTTCCAAGACAGTGCCTCCATCGTGGTGGCTGTGGATTCGAACTGCCAACCTTGTGGTTAACAGCCGGAATGTGGAACCACTGTGCTAGCAGGCTCCTCAGTATAAGGGTAGCTGAGCTGACCATGTTCCGTGCAGAGTATCAAATAGTGCTTCTGATGGTTCAGTTCTATCCCGTGAGTTCCAACTCCTGATGAGCCCCATGCACAATGGAAGGAACCCCTGTGCCATCCTCACACTCATTCTGTTTGAGCCACTGTGTCCGTCTGTCCTGCTGAGTGCCTGGCTCCTTTCCATTGTGCCTCTAGTCTACCAAGCAGGGTGCCCTTCTCCAGGAACTGGTCTATCCTGACATGTCCAAAAGTCCTCCCCTCGAAGGAGCATTCTCGGTGTACTTCTTTCAAGACTGATTTGCTTGTTCTGTTGGCGGCCCACGGTACTCTGAATTTTCTTCTCCAGACCCCCAGTGGAAATGCATACATTCGTCGGTCTTCCTTATCCAATTGCTAACTCTCCCACGCAGAGGAGGCAATCAAGAATATCATCATTTGGGTCGGGTGTATCTTAGTTTTCAAAGTAGCATCCCTGCTTTTCAACTCGTTCAAGACAGCTCGCGTGGTGGATTTTCTCAGTGCAGTGTGTCATTGGATCTCTTGACTGCTGCTTCCAAGAGTATTGTTTCTGTGTCTAACTTGGACACAGAAACAAGTTCCTTGGGAACTTGCCTTTTCTCCACTTACCGTGATGCTACCTGTTGGGCCAGTTGTGAGAATTTTGTCTTTATCTGAATTGTAATCCATCCTGAAGGCTGCCATCCCTGATCTTCCTCAGCGAGGGCTTCAATCCTCCTCACTTTCAGCAAGTGTCATCTGCACATCACAGGTTATTAATAAGCCTTCCTTCTGAGATTGGTACCTCAGTCTTCAGAGTGCATGCATTTAGGCAGCTTCATTCCATTTCAGAGTATCTTTAGATTATTTTCAAATGAGGAAAACCATTCTTGAAATGTTAGGCAATTGGCTTGACACATGGCAGGCAACACATGGATCCCAGATTCAACACCTGGCTGAATTTCACTCCAGAGTCACCTTGCTTGTTTTGCTCTGAACGATAGGAACCCTGAATAAGAGCTCAGGACATTTCACTGGTGTGCTGTGACTTTGTGTACTGCCTGCCTGTGCAATGAATTTAAAATTTCCTAGCCCTTCAAGTCACATGTCCACGAGCCCAACCAAATTCCCAGTCTTAACGTCTTCCTTTTCTGTGACTACACAGACCTGTCCATTTTCTCTATAAGTCTGAACATCCAGAGCGGTGGGGAGTCAGATGTGAGGAACTATTCTCCTGGCTCCTTGCTCAGAGCTTTACAATAAAGCTACTTCCTCCTTCTCAAAATAAAATAGGTGGGTTCTGTCAACTCTAGTTTGTGACACTGCATCAATGAGGACCATGTGCTGGGCTTTCTGTTGTCTGGGAGCCAGTCCAGCGGTAAATTACAGGAAACAGGACCTCTGGTTTCCGGATACTGGTTCGTGTATTGAAGTGTATGGTCCTCTATCACATGTTTGTTGGAGGGCTTTGTTTCAGGAGCAAGAAGGAAATGTAGTTCATCATTAAGATAGATACCTTAACACTATTTTCTTCTAGATATCTTAAAGGTAACCACTGTTTGATTTGGTTTAGTGGGAGCCATGCACTTAATAAGCTCTGGTGGCACAGTGGTTTAAGCATTGCTCCTCTATTGGTGCAAAGGGGAATTCTCTGCCCTGCCCTGCCCCTCCTTCCCCTTCCTGTCTTTCCGTTTATATATTCCTCAATCTTCTCTCTAGGTCGGAATCATTCTTCATTATTCCACTCTTGCCACAGTGCTCTGGGTGGGAGTGACCGCTCGGAATATCTATAAACAAGTCACGAAGAAGGCGAAACGATGCCAAGACCCCGATGAGCCGCCCCCTCCTCCAAGACCAATGCTCAGGTACTCGGTTCTCTGTTTCCTGCCTTCGCTGGCTGTGGAGTAAATAACTGGTGTGCTTTAGTTAAAACATGGCCACGGGTTGTAGCAGGGAAGCTGAGTGAATGCTTGAAAAGAAGAGTGGACGTCCAGCCTAAGTGGGCCTGGTTTTGAATCTGGCTCTGCCCCCTGGGAGGTGTGAGCTCACAGTCAGGTCCTTGTACATTGTGTGCCCGCCTCCTCTCCCCCGGGATGTGGTGATGATGCTGCGCCCCGTCAAGTTGTCTTGAAGGATGACTGGATTGAAAGGTAACCGTAGAAGGGACACTGGAGGAATGCTAGCTCTCCTTCTTTCCATCTTCTGCTCTTTTTCCCCGCCCATCCTTCCCCTCTCCCTTCCTGCTCTGCTCCCTCCCACCCCTTCCTGCCTGCCTGCAGTAGATTTTAATGTATCAACTTAATTACTCTCAACAAAAGACAAAACAGGTTTTGAGCGATGCCACTCCTACTTACAATGGTAAAACAAAAGATACACAGAGTCTAGTGGTGGATGAGTGGATATGATTGAACCCCAAGCTTATTGAATGTCTGTTCTGAAACGCATGAAGTCATAAAGCCACGTGTTGGCTGCTAACCACAACGTCAGCAGTTTGAAGCCCCCAGCACTTCTCGCCCGAGCCGTGAGGCTCTGTGTCTGCAAAGAGCGACGGTCTCGGAAGTCCACAGGGGCTGATCTACCCTGTCCTGTACGGTTGCCGTGAGTCAGAATGGACTGGATGGCCGTGAGCTTGGTTGGTCCAGGCTGAGCTCATCTTACATGGATTTACAGGCATACCTCGTCTGGGTGGTCATTCAGTCTTTCCAAGTTGAAGCAGGTCAGCCGGCACCTTTAGCCAGGAGCACACACTCACTCTCTGCCTTCTCATGCCCATTTTGTGGGTTCTCGCTGTGTTTCTGTCTTTCCCGTACTGCTCTTGCACGTTCCATACCCGGCACTCTCGTGTGAACATTATCTTTAAGTGCACTGAGAAATCCGTGCTCTATGTCAGTAGCCAGAAACTATGCAGTTATCTCCGAGGTCCGTCTGTGCCCTTGCAAAGACCCTGTCACCAAGTAAGCTCAGGTCACAAGTACCAAGGCTTAAGATTTCCCTCTCTTATTTGTGTGTGCACATGCAATTCAACCTACTCCACGTCCTAACTTTCTACTTTATTAGCCAAATAGCTAAAGCCACAGTGGAGCATGTTACTCGGCCTGTCCACTAGGTGGCAGAAGCCGATTAGCTTTGTTCAGCTCCTAGCCAGAAACAGACCTTGTGCTTAGGGAAAATGAAATATTATAGGAGCCCAAGTCAAAAAGATGTTATCATTTTAAAGGGAGCCTCAAGAAGTTAACTCCAGTAACCTCTGATTGGAATAATACTGATAATAATAATAATCTTCAAGGGACAGCTCTTAAAGCACTGGCGTCTTGTGCTTCTCACACTAAGCAATTGTCCTGATGACCCATGAGCCCTGCTCCTTCTCACCCCTCCCAGGTTTTACCTGATTGGCGGCGGCATCCCCATCATAGTCTGCGGGATCACGGCAGCAGCAAACATCAAGAATTATGGCAGCCGGCCAAATGCGCCCTAGTGAGTACTCTCTACACCCTCACTCTCGGCCTGACCCCGAGGATTCTCCTTTGGAATGTTACAGACACGGCGGCATTGCGGTTGGAAACCACCCGGATGGGTGGGAGAAAGCCAGGGCTTTCTCTTCCCAAAGAGAGTTACACTCTGGGAAACCCACCGGGGCTATTCTGCCCTGTCCTCAGGGTCGCTGTGAGTTGGCAGCAACTTGATGGCAGTGAGTTTGGCTTTGGGGGTGCAGGAAGGAGCCTTGGTGGTGGTGCTGGGTAAGCATTGGACTGTTAACCACAAGGTTAGTGGTTCAAATCCACTAACCATTCTGCGGGAGGAAGAAGAGGATGTTTGCTCCTGTAAAGATTTGTAGCCTTGGAAAACCTGTGTAAGGTCACTGTGAGTTAGAATTTACCTGAGGGCAGTCAGCGGCGGTTTTTGGGGTATGGGGGTGCCGTGATTAAAATACTCAGCTGCTAACCATAAGGTCAGCAGAGCGACCTCAGCAGCCACCCACTGTGTGGGATCAAGATGCTGGGGGTGGGCGGGGTGGTGTCTTCGTCTGTCAAGATGCACAGCCTTGGAAATCCTGGGGGCAGTCTACTCTGCCCTGTAGGGTTCCTATGAGCTGGCATTGGCTTGAGAGCAGTGGGATGGTTTTGGGTTTTTTTGCAAAGAACAGCCTGGCGTGCCATGGTTAATAACCCAAATCGAGTCAATGCCAACTCATAGCGACCCTATTAGACAGTAAGAACTGTACCCTTTGAGTGTACGAGACTATACCTATTTACAGGAGTAGAAAGCCCCGTCTTCCTCCCATGGAGCAGCTGGTAGTTTTGAGCTGCTGACCTTGGAGATTGCAGCCCAATGCGTAACCATTGGCCACACCATGACTCCAGCAGTGGTTCCTGCTTGGCTGTTAATGGATAGAAAAAGATGGGTGTCCGAACTCACTGTGTAGGAGAAAGCCGTCTGCTTCTATAAAGATCACAGCTTTGGAAACCCTGTGTGGGTCAGTTCCACTCTGCCCTGTATGGTCACTGTAAACGAGATCAGCCTCATCGCAGTGGGTTTAAGGTTTGCTCCAGGAGCCCTGCATACACAGTGAGTGGCTGCTAACTGGAAAGTTGGTGGTTCAAACCCGGCCCATAGCTGCATGGTAGAAAAGACCTGTCTATCTGCACCCATAAAGATTACCACCTCAGACTCCCAGCGGGGCCATGCCCCTCTGTCACCTGCATTTGCTAGGAGTCAGTCCATACGACAGAATGCAGGGGCAGGGCAGTGAGCTTTATTGCCACTGCTCACCCGGTCCGTTGGCGTTGGTAACCTCTGAGCTGCCTCTGCATTCTCTCTCCTAGTTGCTGGATGGCGTGGGAACCCTCCCTGGGAGCCTTCTACGGCCCGGCCAGCTTCATCACATTCGTGAACTGCGTGTACTTTCTGAGCATATTTATTCAGCTGAAACGACACCCCGAGCGCAGATACGAGCTGAAGGAGCCCACGGAGGAGCAGCAGAGGCTGGCGGCCAACGAACATGGAGACGTGGCTCAGCAGGACTCCATGTCCCTGTCACTGATTTCCACGTCCGCCCTGGAGAATGAGCACACGTTCCAGGCCCAGCTTTCGGGGGCCAGCCTCACGCTGCTCCTCTACGTCACCCTGTGGATGTTCGGCGCCCTGGCCGTGTCCCTGTATTACCCCTTGGACTTGGTGTTCAGCTTCTTTTTCGGGGCCACGTGCCTAAGCTTCAGTGCCTTCCTCCTGGTGCACCACTGCCTGAACCGGGAGGACGTTCGGCTTGCCTGGATCATGACCTGCTGCCCGGGCAGGAGCGCGTACTCCGTCCAAGTCAACGCGCAGCCTCCGAGCTCCAGCGGGACCAACGGGGAGGCGGCCAAGTGCACCAACAGCAGCGCGGAGTCGTCCTGCACCAACAAGAGCACGTCGAGCTTCAAGAACTCCTCCCAGGGCTGCAAGCTGACCAACCTGCAGGCGGCCGCAGCCCAGTGCCACGCCAACCCCCTCCCTCTGAACTCCGCGCCGCAGCCGGACAACAGCCTGACCGAGCACTCGGTGGACAACGACATCAAGATGCACGTGGCGCCCCTGGAGGTCCAGTTTCGGACCAACGTGCACCCGAGTCGCCACCACAAGAACAGGAGCAAAGGCCACCGGGCCAGCCGGCTGACGGTGCTGCGCGAGTACGCCTACGACGTCCCGACGAGCGTGGAGGGCAGCGTGCAGAACGGCCTGGCCAAGAGCCGCCCGGGTAGCGACGGGCACTCGCGGAGCCGGAGGGCCTACCTGGCCTACAGGGAGAGGCAGCACAACCCGCCCCAGCACGACAGCAGCGACGCGGGCAGCTCGCTGCCCAAGAGCGGCCGCACCGGCGGCGGCGAGAAGCCCGCGCCGGCGGGCGCCAAGCGGGACGCGTTCCGGAAGCCCGGGGTCGCCGAACTGGGCGGTCAGCAGAAGTCCTACGGCCTCAACTTGGCCGTTCAGAATGGACCCGTTAAAGGCCCAGGGCAGGACGGGCCCCTGCCCAGCGCGGACAGCACGGGCAACGTGAGGACTGGGCTGTGGAAGCACGAAACCACCGTGTAGCCCGGCGGGCGGGCGGGCGGCGACCTTGGTGGGAACTCCCAGGCGCTGGGCCAGGCACACGCCCCTCTCAGCAAAACGCCTGCACACAGACCCCTGGATGCAGGAGAAGCAACTGCTACGTTTTGGATTTTACTGATTTTTATACTCTCACAGCCCCACCCCCCCACCCCCCACCCCCAAGGTTGCTTTTGTTTAATGATTTTTTTTTTTTTAAGAAAAGCAAAAAAAAAAACCCTCAAACAACAACCCTTTAAAGCATGACTTTAGCTGTCAAAACCTCAGCCAGGGCCCCTTGGCAATCCAAAAAGTCACTTCTCGGAATCTGTACACCCGTTAATGTTTCAGGCCTGAGGTTCCAACAATAAATAGGTGTCGATTGTTGTGTCCATTTCAGCAGTTTCATATTTTGGAAAATAAGGATTTAGCTTGATCTTGGTGAGGTGTGTGTGCTTACATGTAAGGTCGTTACCAGGTGTTCTACAGGGGGACATGTCATTTAACACACAGGTATATTGGCTTGGTGTGTCTCATAAATAGTTTTCAAATACCAGTTTTGTAGAAACTCCCAAAGACCTAGTTTGTAAGTAGCCATGCCTGAGAAGCTTTCCCTACATGACAATGCTTTTAAAAAAAGTTTTATTGAAATATAATTCCTACATCATACAATTCAGTCGTTCAGTCATTAAAAAGACCTAGCTATACAGTCATCGCTACAACCGATTTTAGAGCATTCGCTTCTTTCTTGTCCTCATTGTTATTAGCTCTCGGTTTTCCTCCACCCTCCCTTGTTGTGCCCAAGAAACCATTAACCCTGTGCCTGCCTCTCTAGATGTACCCTCTTGGGTGTCCTATCCAGAAAACCAACCAAACAAAACCCGACAACAAGAACAAAGTAAAACAGGAAAACCTCAGTCACAAAGGAAGCAGGCAATGTTAAAAACTAGAACAAATGTAAAATGAATCACAAGGGAGATCAACTGATAACGATGTTAAATGTTCACCTAACTACCTGTGCAGTCATCCACTATCCACGCAAGGCTATCCGCCTGCGTTTTGCTGCATCCGTTTAACAGTGATGCGGTTAACCCTTGGGCTTCTATTCCGGTTTAATGTTCTTGGTGTTGTGGTCACGCTGGCACCTGCATTATCCTGTGGTGTGACTGCCATGTGAGGTTTCCATCCATTCATGCTGGCCTCTTTCACAGTGGCTGCTGCCTTGTTCTGACAACAGACACATTGCCACTGAGGCCCATGCTACGTTCTGATACTTGCACTTCCATTCTGTATGGCAGCAAGGACCCCGATCCGAAAGGTGTGACTGGTTGTTGAGGTTCCTGATGCCCCTTTGACCCCGACTTTTATCTAGCTCCAGTCCAGAAGCTCTCTGGGACTCATGCTAGAGCTATTGGCAGCTAAGCTTGGTTTGGCCCTAACTCCTCTAACCACACCTGGAGCGCTGGCCAAGCTTCGTTCTGTTTTCCATAGCAGCCCAAGGGGATGCCACATGAGAGCTTGATTCAAAAATACATAGTTGCGAAATGCTAAGAGAATGAAGGAGCTTATCTTGAACAATCGTCAAAAACGAGAGACTGACAGTTTACTTCAAAAGCAATTCACGGATCATCCACAATGGTGTGAACGTTCTGTCTCATGGGATACTTGGAGATTATTTCCTTCGGAATAATAAAATGAATAGTGCTATTGTAGCATCTTTCTAGGTGATAGTTTTAGTTTTAGAGATAATTCTCTTTGTTGGGGATAACAAAGCTAAAAAAAAATAGACCCTTGCTGTGTGCATTTACATAATGGGGGCCCATCGATGACACGCATGGTTGAGAGCTAGAAATGCTGACAGTTCAAACTTAACCAGAGGCACCGCAGAAGAAAGACTGGCGGTCTGTTTCTGAAGGTCGCAGCCTTTACAACCTTACAGATAATTTTTATTCTGGTACCACCTGGATTCAAAATTGACTTTGGGTTGTCTAGTGCTGCCCTAGCCTTGGGTCTCCTGCTAAGTTTAGAAATAACATGCATACGCTTATAGGAAACAGAATGAGTAGGTATTTATTTCCATTTGTATCTTTGTTAATTGGGCACACCTATCCAAGGTTTGACCCATTTCTCTGACCCACTGGTCCATGCTGTATATGGAGAGAGACCTTAGTTCCTTTTCTTTCCCCCCACCTCTCCTTCCTGGCCACTCAATAAGCATTTAGTAATTTAAGCACAACTTTCCATAAGTAACAAGAAGAGGGGGTAAAACAATTTTTTTTAATTGGCCACAAAGGAAGCAAAATGCTTGGAAAACATGAAGATCCCACGTAAACATCAGAGATTTCAGAACTCATAGAAAGTGATGGTATAATGTAGTATCTGCTTAGCTTTCAATTGAATGAAACTTGGATGCTAGTGTGTGGGACGTGAACACCTTTCTCATCTGTGTTGTTTAAGATGTATGGTTACTTGCTGGTTGAATTCTTTATTTCATGGAATCCTAATGTGTGAGGAGACTTCCGTGTGCTAAGAGATCCTCTTTGAGAAAAACAGGAAACGGAGCCCAAAGAGTTAGTGAATGGTGGCCATTCCCAGGCGGCTATGCCACACGCAGGACTTGGCCCATTTGTTTTCTGATGCCAGGCGATGAATACTCAGGTTTGCTCCGACAGGGAAGTCTTGATCATTCAAATGAACTTGTACCCAAATGTAAGATAGGATCCCTTGCAGAGCTGTGTCTCCTTGCCGATTGAAGACTGTGTCCAGAAAGACATTCCATACGAAAGTCATGCTCCCCAATACCAAACGGTGTGCACGTTTCATCGAAGTCCATCTATTTATATAATGGAGAAAAAATGTCAATGCTGGTCCCAATGGACGAGCTCTATACAGTTGGTTCCGTGGGGTACTTACATTTTTCAGTGTCAGCATTGCTCTGGTGTCCTGTGCCCATTGTTCTAGTTTCCCTGCCACTTTGACATCTTTGCTCTAGAATAATTGTTGACCATAATCGACTATTTCTGCTCCGTCTGAAAAGTATGCAAGTAACTTTCTTTCATGAAACATGCATGGTAGTACCCCCCAAAATTGGAACTTTTTTTTCAAAGCTATGTATGTAATTTTTTTTTTTTACAAACCAACCTTATCACCTTCAAAGTACCCTCCATTTCACTTACGACATTTGTCAAATCTGTGATTCCATTCTTGGAAACATTTTTCAAACTCATCTGTTTGGATGGTTGAAGGCATCTTTGTTTTTTTCCTTTACCTCTTCTTTGTCATTAAATTGCTGTCCTTTCATGTCTCTTCATTTGCAGAAACAAAAAAAGTTGCATGGGGCAAGGACAGGTGAATCAGGTGCATGAGGCAAGAGAGGCATGCTGGCTTTTTTTTTTTTGCCCAAAACTGGTGCACTGAGATGGCAGCATGAGCAGGTGCATTGTCGTGGTGGCAAAACCAGTCCCCCGTCTGCCAAAATGTATACCTTTTTTGGTCACATACTGTTGTGCTATCTTTTCGGAACCTCCAGATAGCTTGATTAACAGTCTGCGCTTGTGGAATGAACTCCCAAATCACCAAGAGCCGACATGTTTGTCTCTTCAAGAAGTTGACAGACATCCAAACCGGGGTTTGTTTGCAACTGACATTTCACCTTCTTTGAAACGAGAAAACTGCTCACACACTGAGTTTTTCCCACAGCACTGCCCTTAAATAAGCTGTGTTCAACATCACAACAGTTTCGGTGGCTTTTTTCCAAGCAGGAAACAAAATTTCAGAGCTACACGCTGTTCTCTTAAATTGGCCATGACCAAAAACGAGGTTCCAGTGAAACTTTTTACCAAAAAATTCACTGGGACCGGAGTGAACGTTCCCAGGCAACTCCACTGGGTGCACTAACTCAGAATTACTCGACGCTCCCCTAGCGGGAAAAATATGTACTCTTCTGGAGCTCGTTTTTTTTTTTAGGGGGGCTGCTCCCTCAGAACAGAAAACTGGTCTCAAGAAGGTGGAGGTTAAATAGCACCCCAAATGACTCCCCTTTCCACCCTGCTGCACCACTTCCATCCCTTCTGACACCAACCAGCACCTCCTCTCTGTACTCCTGTACGGCCCAGGGTTCTGCCGTGAGCTGAAACGGCCACCCAGAACACTGTAAAAAAAAAAAAGTGGCTTCACCCTTGGTGGGTGCTGGTCAGCCCCAGATCAAATTTCTCATGTCCATCAGGTGGACCCTCCTGCTTCCTGAGGCCCTGGAAACTGGCCAGGGCTGGGCAGGTGTGAAAGCATACCCCAAGTTCCAAGAAGCAGAGCTTCAGAAAAGGCAAACTAGATGCAGGATCCATGAATGCTTTCTACTCCCAGCTCCTGCTGGTAGCGAGTTCCCCTCTCCTCAAAGGAAAAAAAAGAAAAACCCAAACTTAAGCTAATGCTGATTCATAAGGACCCCCTTGTGAATTTCCAAGACTGTTTACAGGAGGAGAAAGCCCAGTCTTCCTCCCCAGGAGTAGCTGCTGGATTGGGTCCTTGCGGATGATAGCCCAATCTCAGAGGGTTTATTTTACACTCAGCAGGAAGGCAATCACAAGGAATCCTGTCAACAATTACAGGTGAGTCCTATCAGCGCGCCACCTCCACCCCTACCTTCTTACCCAGACCCATGAAGAAAAAGCTCATTTGGTGGGAGACTTAGGCGAGAAGAGCCGAGTAAATTCACTGCCCCTGCAAGTATCTTTTAAAAGTCATTTTGGTGAGTAGAGGGAAACTACCTGCTGGTAAAAACAGAAACCGACAGCTCAGAGGCTTACCCCATCAAAGTTTCTCTGGTGTGAATGTGACTTTCCTTACAGCTCTCTAGGGCTTTCCCTGCTGCCCCCTCCACTGTCAGTGTTTGTGCCTCTTTTATGTCCGGTCCAACAGTACAGGTTCACCCTGGTACTCAACCATATCAGTACTCGACATAATCGGGTTTTGACTCGAAATGTCGAGAAAATCTTGCCTCGGAGCTCAAACAAAACATGGGAATCCCACCCGATGCATGTGGTTTTTGTCAACAAGCAGTTCGTGGTTCGGTCACTCGGCATTAGTTGGCGTTAGTATGCTTTGTTTAAACCTTTTGTGGCTGTGTTCCAAGTGTTTTGCTTTAATTTTCTTAGTTTTTGTGGCTTTCTGGTACTGTT